TAAAACTTTTATTTGTTAAGTCTTAAGAAAATCACCTTAATTAATTTTGGATGGAAATAATGTCAACTTTATTTTGGGTTTTTTTAAGTGAAGAACATCATAACAAGGTTTGAAAATATCTGATTACATACATATAATCACATTTGATTAAATACAGGAGACCAGCTATTGAATCGGAAACACGAAACTTAATCTAGTCCACATAAATCATACGTGATTAATACTAATAATCACATGCGATTAAATATACGAGACCAACTATTGAATCGAAAATACGAAAATGAATATTGTCCACATAAATCATATGTGATTAAATAAATACATATGTATAATGTATCTAATCATATATGATTTATATGGACAAGATTCGTTTTCGTTATTCTGGTGTATTTAATCACATGTGATTATATGAATAATGAATCTAACCAGTAATCACATATGATTTATATCATCTTTTGCGTTCTCGATTAAATATTTGTTCTTGTGATTTAATCACATGTGATTATATGTATTTAATCACAAATGATTTATGTGCATAAGATTCGTTTTTGCGTTCTCGATTGAATAGTTGTTCTTTATCCACATTAATCATATGTGATTAAATACATATAATCACATGTGATTAAATAAATGAAAAACAATTATTAAGTAAAAAACGCAAAAACAAATCTTGTATATATAAATCATATGTGATTAGATGCATCATACCTATGATCATATGTGATTATATACACAAGACCAACTATTGAATCAAAAACACGAAGAAAAGAAATCTTTTCCACATACATCATATGTGATTAGATACATATAATTGCATTTGATTAAATACACAGGACCAACGAATGAATCGAATATGCGAAATGAATATTGTCCACATAAATCATATGTGATTAAAACATATAATCACATGTGATTATATCTATATAGTCACATATGATTTATGCGGACAACATTCATTTTTGTTATTCTCGTGTATTTAATCGCATGTGATTATATGAATCTAATCACATGATTTATTTAGACAAATACGAATCTTATCCATATAAATCATGTGTGACTAGATACATATAATCACATGCGATTCGATACATATAATCACATGTGATTATATACACGATGACAACTATTGAATCAAAAACAAAATAACAAATCTTTGTCCACATTAATCATATATGATTAAATATTTTATAATCAGGTATGATTAAATACATGAGAAAAATTATTTAATGGAGAATATAAAAATGAATCTTGTCTATATAAATCATATGTGATTAGATACATATAATCATATATGATTATATGTATTTAATCACATGTAATTTATGTGACTAAATACATATAATCATATATGCTTTATGTGATTCTATGAATTTAATCACAAATGGTGGTGGCAGTTGTAGTAGTGGGTGGTGGAGTAGATGGGTAGTGATGGGGATGTATAGTAGTGGTGGTGGTAGTGGTAGAGGTGGGGTGGGTGGTGGTGGTGATGGGTGGTGGTGGTGGTGGGTGGCAGTGGTGGTGATGAGTAGTGGTGGTGATGATGGTGGTAGTGGGTGGTGGTTGGTGGTAACAGGTGGTGGTGTGTGTGGTGATGGGTAGTGGTGGTGGGTGGGTGGTGACGAGTGATGGTGATAGTCATGGGTGGTGGTTTTGGTGGGTGGTGGGTGAGGGTAGTGGTGGCAGGTGATAATGACGAGTGATGGAGGTGGATGGTGGTGATGGGTGGTGGTGGTAGGTACTGATGGGTGATGGAAGCGGGTAGTAGTGATGGTGGTGGGTGGTGGTTTTAGTGGGTGGTGAGTGGGGGTAATGGTGATGGGAGGTGTTGGGTGGGTGCTGGTTATTGGTGGTGGTCGGTGGTGGGAGTGTGTAGCGGTGATGATGGGTGGTGGAGGTAGGTAGTGATAGCGAGTGGTGATATGTGGTGATGGTGGTGGTGAGTGGTGGTTTTGATGAGTGGTGGGTGGAGGTGTAGTGGTGGTAGGTGGTGGTTACGGGTGGTGGTGATGATGATGGAGATGGGTGGGGTGGTGGTGATGGGTGGTTGAGGTGGGTAGTGATGGTGGGGGTGGGGGTTACGGGTGGTGGTGAGTGGTGAGTGGTGGTGGAGGCGGGTGGTGATGATGAGTGGCGGGTGATGGGTGGTGTTTGGTGCTGGTGACGGGTGGTGGTGATAGTTGGTGGAGGTGGTGGTGGGTGGTAGGTTATGGTGGTGAGTGGTGTTGGTTAGTGGGTTTTTTAATTGTTTGTAACTATGTTTTGATTTATATGAATATTATTTTATAATTTTAAGACAAAATTACAAAAATGGTCCCTGTGGTTTACCAAAAGTCACAAAGTCAGTCCCTGCTAATTTTTTTTATGCAAATGGTCCTTGTGGTTTGCAAAACTTGCACAGATGGCCCTTTTTACTAACTCCGTTAGTATTCAGCCGTTAGGGTAAGGGCATTTTCGTCTTTTCATGTATAAAGGGACTAAATTCGTGATATATGGTAAACCACAGGGACCATTTTTGAAATTTGTTTGAAAAAATAATTATGTGGCTGAAGGATGGGGGGAGGGATCGAACCTGAGACATCTACCTATTAAATGGCCAAAGCCTTAACCAGTTGGGCTGCATGTATATTTGGTTTATATTTTCCAAATACTAATTTATATAATAAGTATAACGTTAAAACATAAGCAATAAATAAATTACAAAACATATTTTTTTACATATTTTTTTTAATAAAACAAAATGTATTTTCGTATTATAAAAAAATTTACAAACAATTTGTATGCATTTTTATGTATTTATTTTACATAAAAACGTATTTTTTTGTCTTTAAAAATACGCTTTTGTATATCAAATACATTTTTGTAAAATATATTTTTTTAATGTGTTTGAAATAATAATAATAATAATTAACACCGGTTTTAGAGCTATCGATCCAAAAGAATTTATACATTTTTTTATGTCATGAGTAATGTTAATTATTATTATTTCAAAGACATAAAAAAATATATTTCACGAAAACGTATTTGTTATACGAAAACGTATTTTTTAAAGATATAAAAAAATATATTTTACGAAGGATAAAAAAAAATGTATTTCGTAAAATATATATATTTCGTAAAATAATAATAATAATAATTAACACCGGTTTTAGAACTATCGATCCAAAAGAATTTATATATTTTTTTATGTCATGAGTAATGTTAATTATTATTATTTCAAAGACATACAAAAATATATTTTACGAAAACGTATTTGTTATACAAAAACGTATTTTTCAAAGATATAAAAAAATATATTTTACGAAATACGTTTTTATATACGAAAACGTATTTTTTAGAGACATAAAAAATATATATATATTTACGAAAACGTATTTTTTAAAGATATAAAATATATATATTTTACGAAAAAAAAATTACGAAAGACAAAAAATACATTTTTATGTAAAATAAATACATAAAAATGCATACAAATTGTTTGTAATTTTTTTTAATACGAAAATACATTTTGTTTTATTAAAAAAAATATGTAAAAAAATATGTTTTGTAATTTATTTATTGCTTATGTTTTAACGTTCTGCTTATTATATAAATTAGTATTTGGAAAATATAAACCAAATATACATGCAGCCCAACTGGTTAAGGTTTTGGTCATTTAATAGGTGGAGGTCTCAGGTTCGATCCCTCCCCCCATCCTTCACCCACATAATTATTCGTATATCACGAATTTAGTCCCTTTATACCTGAAAAGACGAAAATGCCCTTACCCTAACGGTTGAATACTAACGGAGTTAGTAAAAGGGGTCATATGTGCAAGTTTTGCAAACCACAATGACCATTTGCATCAAAAAAAATTTGCAGGGACTGACTTTGTGACTTTTGGTAAACCACAGGTACCATTTTTGTAATTTTGTCTAATTTTAATTAAAAAAATTGTGTAGTCCAAATTTGTTCATAAATTAAACATTTTTGCAATAAGAAATGTTCTCGATTGAACGTGTGTGTGTGTATATAATAATAATAATAATAATAATAATAATAAATGAAAGTTCTTTTTGCCACTTGTCATACTCTAATTCAATTTGTCAAATGTTATTTTGTGATTATTTTAAATTAGTTCTTTTTCCACATGTCATTTTATGAGTTTTCCTATTTTATTAAATTTCATATGTAATAATTTCAATAGATGTAATAATAAATGAATATCAATTTCATTAATGAACTTACCTTTTAATTTCAAATTTTCCAAAATTAAAGCTTATTAATTTCTTTTATTTATTTAAATTATTTGTTAAAGTTTAAAAGATAAAAAAACATTTCTAATATAATAATTTACTATTTTTTTATTTTCTTATAAATTCAAAGCTCTTGAACATTTTTGACCTTTATATTTAACCTTTTTTTTATAAAAAAAAATTAACTCATGTGATATATGGGTCTCACAACTAGTATATATATATATATATATATATATATATATATATATATATATATATATATATATATATATATATATATATATATATATATATAACTCAGTCGGCCAATAGGATGGAGTATATATAGTTGCATGACTCTATAGCCCAATATATCCAATCGTTTTTTATTCTACTCGGCCCATACCAAAACCAGTAATGGAAAGCAAATAAGCCCTTGCATGTTAGCCAACTCCAATTGCACAGGAGGAATGACTGATAAACTAAATTGCTTCTTTGCCATTAAACAACATTTGATCAGATTGATTGATGGATATATGGATGGATCAATTATATAAGAATAGATGGATCAGCTAGATGGTTAGATGGATCGTCTGTAGGTAGGATGTCAATACATTACACAACATGATATGAAATTGGGACGGAATTTTTTTTTAAATTTGTGTTAGTATCATGTGTAAAAACTTAATGTCGTATCGTCATGTTGTGTTTATATTTAGAGATCAACATGATATTTACCCGTGTTTGTTGTGTTTTGTATTATGAATTATAAATTAAATAATTCATACCATCATACCACTCTACAACACTTTGCATAGCAAACATTTGAAATGACAAAAGTATCCCATCATAATGTAATTAAAAAAATAAATAAAACTAATCGATTGCGTTCCTAATTGGAAACTTTTTCATCAAGAACATGCAGACATTCATATATGATCTCAACCGCACGATCAAGTTCATCCTCAGAGATTATCAACGGTGGTACGAGTCTAACAACGTCTCCTTTGCCAGCTGTCAATATCAAAAGACCGGACTCACGACACGCATCAACAAGCTTTGAGGCAGAAACATCCAACTCAATCCCAACAATAAGACCAAACCCTCGTATCTCTTTCACATGACTGTTTCCTCCAACTTTTTCCTCCAGGATTTCTTTCAAGTAATTTCCTTTTTTTGTAACACTCTCCAGAAACCTCGGGTCGGATATTTTATCAAACACAGCAATTGCAGCAGCACACACGAGGGGCCCACCTGCAAACGTGCTTCCATGGTCCCCATTGTTGATAGCAGAATTTACTTTTTCAGTCACGAGTGTAGCTCCTATTGGTAAACCTCCAGCTAGAGGTTTTGCAAGAGTCATTATATCCGGGGTTACACCATAAGCTTCGTGTGCCCACAGATACCCAGTTCGCCCCAACCCACATTGAACCTGAATTTAACAAATTATTTTTTATTCGTATCCAAATTACCAAAACTAAAATACTTATTATAGCATTAATGAGTTAGGATGTTATTTATTACCTCATCATAAACCAGTAAAGATCCAGATTTGTCACAAGCAACACGCAAAGCTTGCAAGAAATCTTTTGTAGCACTGTAAATTCCACCTTCCCCTTGAATAGGTTCAACAAATACAGCAGCAATTTTGCCACTAGATATTAGTTCTTGAGCAGCTTTAATGTCTCCATAGTTCAAGAAAGTTACACCAGGCATCACAGGCTCAAAAGGTGTTCTGTAATGCTCCTTGCTAGTCAAAGCAAGCGAACCAATTGTCCTTCCATGGAAACTGTTACTGAAGGAGATAAATTCAGTAGCTGGATCTGTCTTGTTAGGATGTGAAAATCTTTGAAACTTTCTTGCAAATTTTATGGCAGCTTCATTTGCTTCTGTTCCTGAATTACTGAAAAAAACTCGATCTGCAAATGAACTTGCTACAAGACGTTCAGCAAGATTCACCTGTGATACAAAATGCAATTAATTTCTATTTTTGAATCAAACAAAAAAGTATATATGGAATCGAACCTGAGGAAGGGAGTAATAGATATTGCTAACATGGGCAAGTAGGTTAGCTTGATCGGTGACAGCTTTGACCCAATCGGGATCTCCATGGCCCAAAGCATTAACAGCGATACCTGAGGTTAGGTCGAGATACTCCCGACCTTCAATATCATACAATTTACAACCTTTGCCACTTGTAAGCACTAGAGGAGCTCTGCCATATGTACCAACTATCACTTGTTTTTCAGCCTTCATCACCTCATCTTTGCTAATCGATTTCACTGCTACTGGTATAGTGTCTGTTAGTTGTGCTCGAACCTCGGTTATACGAGAATTAGAGAGATGAATCGAGCTTCTACCAAATGCAAATTGGGACTTCACATTGGGAAAACAATGGTGGCGATGATCGATTGTTGGAAAAATCGGGTTGCTCAGATTGAAAACTGAACTCATCAGGATGGATTGTGTATGATCAAAGAACGATGTCCGCCGCCTTCAAAAACAGGGCAAAAAAACTGCTTATATGATAGCTAACAGTTTTTTTAAACCATAAATGTATGATTATCCCAAGCTTGACAATAACAGAATTGAACAGAAAAAGTGGGTGCTACTGTTACAGGTTTAACGTATAAACCTAGGTTCGATTGCTAATTGAAGCACAAAAACATACACAATTAGACATTTTAGATCAAACAGACCAATATTCATTCAAAATCAAATCACATTTCACATTCAAAGCTAAACTAATTTCATTACAAATGTTTAGATTTTAAAGCTCTTTAATGAGTTATGCATCAATTGACATAAATTCAGAGAACCAAAATAAGTAAATTGATAAGAATGGAATAACGATAGGTTCAATACCACAGATAAGAAGGGAATATCATAAAGCAGGTAAAAGAAGGAAGACCGACAGCAGGAAGAAAAAATATGAATGGAACCCAGGAAAAAATGGACGAAAAACGAACCTGTGGCTGAGAGGCCGAAGGTCTCCGGTGTATCTGTGGGGTGCGACGGTCTCCGGCCGGTGGTGGCTTCACAGGGAGGCGATGGCTTACGGCGGCGAGCAGGGGAGGACTAGTAGCTTGAGGAGCAAACGATCAGATGAGGCGTCTGTGAAATGTGTAGTTGTACAATGTGTATAAGGTTTTATTAGGGTAAGGGTATCTTGGTCAGTAACTATCTTTTTTTTTTACACATCTAAGTAATAAACTTATTGGAAGTGTTCATATGACCATTATGATAATGGTCATATGTGAACACTTCCAACAAATTTGTTATTTAGATGTGTAAAAAAAATAATTACCTAAATATGAACAAAGTAAAAGTAAATTACATGAATGGTCCTTATGGTTTGGAGGAATTTATGTTTTTAGTCCCTAACTTATTTTTTTAACTCAGATGGTCCCTACTGTTTATTTTTGTTGTGCATTTGGTCTCTGTCTTACCTAAAAGGACTATTGTGCATTTATTAATTTATTTTTTAATTAATCCAATAAGAAGGGTTTTAATTTTTTCAAATGAACGATTTGAAGACCTATTGATTCTAAAAACTATTCTTATTTATGTATGTATTTTTTATATATTTAAAAAAAAATAATAGACCCCACATATCTATATCTCATCACCGTAAACCTAAAACCACATTTGAGAAATTTAATGTGGGTCTCACCAGTTATCATCTCATCTCTCATCCTCCTCAACTTCTATTTCCTTTCCATCTTTAGCGACATTAACGTCTTCATCATGCTTCTTTTTTTTGTCCTTTAACTCTGGCGAAACCAACACCATAACCCACTGTCTCTTCATCTTTAGTGGGTTGTAGTGCTGATTCGACGAAGTTGAAGGATTGGAAAAAAAAGGATGGTGAAGATGTCGATATCACTAAAGATGAAAAATAAATAGAAGTTGAGGAGGATGAGAGGTAGGATGGTGAGGATATACAGATATGTGGGGTCTATTAATTTTTTTTAAATATATAAAGAATAAATACATAAATAAGAAAATTAATTAAAATAAATAAATTAATAAGGACACAATAGTCATTTTAGGTAAGACAAGGACCAACCGCGTAACAAAAATAAACAGTAGGGATCATCTGAGTTAAAAAAATAAATTAGGGACTAAACACACAAATTTTCCAAAACCACAGGGACCATTCGTGTAATTTACTCTTACTTTTCGTTTTGTTCATATTTGGGTATTTATTTTTTTTGCACATCTAGGTTACGAACTTGTTGAAAGTGTTCACATATGACCATTATGACCTGTTGTAGCCGGATGTAACCTGCTACAGCAGGTCATAATGGTCATATATGAACACTTCCAACAAGTTTGTTACCTAGATGTGTAAAAAAAAAGATAGTTACCGAGATGTGAACAAACCGAAAAATTAATTACCTTAATAAGTCATATTCCATTTTCACAAGGGGTAAACAACTTATGAGAAATGACATATTAAAGGTCTCACGTCACGCAGTATAAGATATTTTTTAAAAAAATTGTTCCAAACACTATTTTTAACTTATACCCTGAAAGTAAATTAAAAAACTAGTTTTTTAAGTTCGGCCAAATACCCTATTTATTACATAACTGATCTAAAATTATTGTTCTAACCCCATTTTGTGATCAAGTTCTTTCCATCTTATATTTTAATTACCTTATCAAATTAAACAACCAATTAACATTGATTTGGGTTTAAACGAATAAAAGGGGTTGGAAAGTTGAAACAACCAATTAACATTGATTTGGGTCCAATTACTCATTTTAGTTTTTCATCAACCCAAGTTTCTTCAATGTTTTATAAACCATCATCGACTATCTCACGTTTTTTATATCACATGTTTTAAGAGCATTAAGAAGAAAAAAAAGTCATTAAGCTTTTTCATATCACATCACATCATGCCAACTCAAAAAGCCAAAAACTTTAAGATGTCTACTATATCAAAACCTTTTCACAAAACTTATTTGTACCGTAAAGCTAACTCATTTGTAACACAAACTACAGAGATAAAATAATAAAATGTTATAAAACTCATAAGCTTGTAAATTCACAATCAAGATGAAAAAAAAAAAAAAAAAAAGTTGTGAAAAAGCTATAACAATAAGCTCCTCCTATTGGATGCTCTTATGTTTGAAAGTTTTACAAAATTCCGATTATCTCCAAAACACACTCCACCTTGTATATTTAACATGCCACAAAGGGCACAAATCATTCGATAAATCAACAAATAACATATACTAGTATAAAAGTAACATCGACACAAAGTCATTATTTAAAACATAATAACACTTTCAGGGAACTATCAAATTCAACATTCCATAATAGTCAATACATCCATGACAAATCCTGCTTAAAAGACACATATTTAGCAGCTCCTTCCACACCTCTTAAAGACACCTGAGGACAATCATTGACAACAAGAACTTCCAATTTCCTCAATCCAACAATCCCCTTAAACCCATCATCCGTAACCCCCAAACACTTTGTCAACCTCAACACCCGTAAATTCCCATATCTACCCACAAATTCAATCCCTTCATCACTTATCTCTTGACACCTCACAAGTTCTAAAATCTCAAGATTCTCAGCAAAACAAAGAGCTTTCATCCCAACATTGTTGAACGAATAAACCCGATCAAGAACAAGCTCTTTCACAGGACACATTTTAACCAAATTCAAAATCCCATTTTGAGAAAACGAGGATAAAGAAGGAAACTCACCATCTGAAAACGATAAGGCCACGGATTCAAGCAGTTTACAGTTTTGAGCTATGGCTTTCAAGCTTCCGTCTGTGAAGCGTAGCGGGTTTTCCATTATTGAAAAATCAGACGGGACCCGGATCGAAATGGCCCGCAGATTTTTTGAATTTTCCACGAGCCTGATTATGTCATCATCTCTCACACCTACACACATGTCTAAATGGATCTTCTCCAAGTTTTTGCATTTATCCAATATACAAGCTAAACCTCTCCCCGGGCTGATTATACAATTGACTAATTTAACCTCCACCATGTTATCGCACGGGACCCACTGCGTATGCCACCTGTCAACCGCTAACCGATCGTAAAGCTTCATGTACCTGTAATTCGCATCCACTTCAAACCGTAACCGTTTTATGTTACGCCAAGTGGGCCCGAGCTTGATAAGAGCGCCTTCACCGATCCCACGACAGTTTTTGATGGAAAGATCTTCGAGGGTTTTGAGTTTTCCGAGACACTCAAGCCATTCGAGATTGGTGATGTTTAAACAGCGGATTAAATGAAGGGTTTTGAGGTTTTTGGAGGTTACTATGATTGAGAAGATGCCACATCCGGTGATTCTTGGAGTGAAGTTTAGTTTTAGAGATGAAAGTTTTGAGCATGATGATATGTAGCTGAGGCCGGTGTCGGTGATGAAGGTGCAGTAACTTAGGGTTAGATCGGTTAAAAGAGGGCAGGTTTTGGAGAGGATGGAGAGGCCTTGGTCTTCTAGTTGTTTGCCTAAATTTGACATCCAACCCGAGTATGTGATTTCGATTTTGTTTAGGTTTGGGAATCTGTGGCATAGAGAGGTTAGAGATTCGATTGCTGGGTTTAATCCACAGCCAATGCGGATGTAGTTTCTTTGTTCGTTATCAAGATTATGGAAGCGTTTGCAGGTCAAAGATATGGAGTTTCGGTCATTGGTGTTTTTGATTCTGTTGAAAATCTCCCAAACTAACTGATCTGGGAGATTATCGATTGAAACCATGTTTTTGTTTATTGTAAAACCTGAGAGAAGAGAAACTGACAATTCAGAAAGCATACAGGCTTTTAAGAAATTAAAATCACAGAGCTGAAATATCAGTTTTGTTATTGCAATTAGCTTTTGGATATCTGATGATCAGAAAGAAAATTGGAAACGCCGGTAAATGGCACTATCGATCTCAAAAACAAACTCTACGTTCAATTACGGTAGGCAGATTGAATTCATATCAGTAATCCATCTTATCAGAATCGCTTAAAGAATTAATGAATTCTCATTCAAGTTCATAATTCTTATCATCGGAGAAAAACAGTATTTAAAGAAAAATCAATAAGGTTAGGGAAGGATGAATGCAAAATTGAAGGTGATTGAATAAGCAGATGGAGGATTGAGATGTACCTTACCTTAGAAGAAGAAGGATGAGACTGAATCGAGTTTCAAACGATTGTAAATGATGATACCCTTGGTGTTGGATACTTTGTTAGATTCGTGGAATATCTATCTGGGTGAAATTCAGTTTGCATTTGCCCTAAACCTACATGAGAAACTCGGTATTCATCTTGCGTGTTGGTATTCAGTATGATTTGATTTGACACAAACACATGATCTCTTTTTCCACTTTTACAACATTTGAGCCAAAAAATCAATAGAAACATTTTAATTCATTTTTTTATTTTAAATTTCAAGTTAAGTTCCGTTCCAATCTGTCATAGACGTCATTGAATAGGAATCGTTATCGGATATCATCAAGGATAATTACGTAAATTCCTCCTCTCTTTTACATGTTTTACTAACATTCACAATATTCATCTTCTTCCTATTTCCTCTCGACAATTATAAAGAAAAAATCATCAAGCAACGAGGCTATGTTGATCATTCATCAAGGTTGCAATACGACAATGGTGTTGTCAATGTAGATTCAACATAACAAATCCACTGTTATCTTTCATTCATCATTCACTTCAAACTCTAATCTCATGTGCATCATTCTATACGAAATTCACTTTACATATCAACAAAGAATACAATAAAATGATGCCATAAAAATAAAAAAAAGAACAAATTATTCGGTTCATGCTGATCATTGTACATCCACTGTATTCGTTTCTTCAAGAGATACCATCAGCCCCTGAAGCTGCATATTCAAAAATAATAAAATCAAAATATCAAAATACAAATTTCAATACTTGTGTTCAACAGCTGAGGTGGCACTGTTGACTCTACCTGGGCCTCCAGTTCTTGTATCTTGTCATCTTTCACCCTCAAAGCCTCCTTCTCCCTACCCAAGTCACAACATTTTTAAATTTTAATTGTTTCTTTCCCAACAAAATACTATTTAAGTTTTTCCAAACATACCTTTCTTGAATTTTAGCTATTATGCTTTCCCATGTCTCCTTGTTCCTCAAAAGATTCTCATTCATCTACAACAAATATCAACACACCATTAGTTTACTTCTACTTCATTCTGTATGAAAAAAAGTCAAAAACCAAGAAACAGTAGGAGGAAATGGAATAATCAGTCACATACATCATCTAGAAACTTCTTCTCTTTAAGACCTTTATCCAGCTTCGCTTGCATCTTTTGCAATTTCGTATTCTGCTTCAAAAAATCTTTTACAGCACTTGAAATCTCCCTTTCATTTTCCTCTTCAAATTCCTGGAGTAATGATTCATAGTACTTCCAATGCCATCCAAACATTCAAATTCAAAACATTAATACAAAGCTCAAATCAAAACATTAAATGATTTAAATCCAATCAGTGACCTCACCAGTTTTTGGTTTTCAAGTTGGGTAGTCAGCAGCTCATTATACTCACTAACAATCTGTAAACAAAACAAGAGTCAACACTCCTCATTCAAATTTCCCCATTTGTTAATAAACACTTAGAGCGAAGAGAAAAAATAAAAAAATACAGATTCAACTCGACTGTTTAAAAGAGCTTCACTAAATGCAGGATCAGTGTCACATCCACAATCACCATCAGTATGTTGATGGTGATTCAACTCAACCAGTTTTCCATCTGTTTTAGATTGGATTAAACGATGAACATAATTATCTCCAACATAATCCCACACACGTTGTGTTTCCAGTTCTTGAGAGTAGCAATGTTGTGTTTGTTTCCAGTGTTCAATTGCATGCCCTTCTTTATACCTCCCACACCCAACAAACCCACACAGAAGACATATCCACACATTTTCTGATGTTTGACAAATCAAACATTTTGACTTTTCAGGCTGCTGTTGACAATAACGACATACCTACAGCAAACAGTATTATTTATTACCATCATCATTGAAAACTGAAATCAAATAGTCAATATGTTTTGTAAAGATGGATTTATTTATGTCAACTGTCAAGTAATGATTTTTAAACTTACAGGGCATGAAGAATCAGTCCATTTTGAAATACAAGAACAATGGAATGAATGGTTGCAGATTGTTGTTAGAATCCCACTCATATCTTGATCCAATCTCTCTACAAAAAGAAAATTACTTCAATCTCTCTAAAAATCATACACAAAAAAAAACAGGTGATATTTGGTATATAATATATAAATTACCAAGACAGACTGGACATGAGGGTTGCTCTGTATTTGCAGGGGAAGTCTGTGTGTGTTCAATTGAGCTTGTGTATTGCACATCAACAGTGAAAAGCACACGACATGATTCTGTCTGTATTCAAAAACCAAATTTGACAAAAATTAGATTAACTATTTTTTTAATTACATTGCAGGATATGCTTAAATAAACTATGAATGATTATTGATGAAGGAAAACCTCCAAAGATGAGAAACGCCTTCCATTAAAATGCTTGTGAAATGAATCCGTTGAGCTTTGATCATCGAATCTTACCAAGATACTATACCGGTTTTCCATTCCATCATTCCTTAAACCAACATATTGAAGGATTAGCAAAGCCTGATCATAAAAGGGTTATTAGTAGATATCAGAAATTATACACAGGATACCTGACAATGCGCATTTCCATGATGTGATGAATAAAGGAACCACAAAACTGACAAAAGTCTGCATATGTCATGTGATTTGGCACCCCAAGAACACAAATAAGAGGAATTCTTCCAACCTAAATGCCATCATAGAAATCAAAAGTCGATCACTAATAATGATTTGAAAAAAGAGGAAATATGTAACTTTTTAGTGATAATAAGGAGGGTTAGAAGTCAAGTAGTTTTGACTCTGTATTGTTGTCATATCTAGTTTCTTTCCCTAAAGATGCGTGGCATAAACCTTGACATATTTGTGATTCTGTCTACATTCTCAATTGTCAATTAAAATTAGCACACATGTTCAAGGATCTTCATCTTTGGTTGTCAGGCAAGAAGATTCTTTAGTACCTCGAATACTTCAACATAAACAGATTAAATCACCAGCGAATTGAAAGGTAGCTTGATTCGCCCAGCATTCCTTAACTAATGAACTGATTGTCAATCAGTCATACCAAACAGGAACTAAATAGAATCAATCAAACAAACAACCGTATGAAACCCTAATTGAGCGCACGAAAAATGTACCATCTGCGTGGAGAAGATAGTGGAACGCATGAGAAATATAAAACTTACAGGTAAATTAGAAGAGGAAGAAGCGGCGTCGTCCAGAAAGAGATGCATGACGCCTCTCGTCTGTTCGATTCTAGGGTTTCCAGAAGAGAATGGAAATGCCTGGGTTACGTATGCACTGGAAGAGGAGGTGGATGAGTCGCCAATATCTGTGATCGGAAGTTTCATGATGGACGACGGCCGGAAGTAATCCTCGGCGCCGACTATTGTAGAATTCGCGGCCGCGCTTACTGAAATCGCTTCGGACATTTTATTACTGTTCATAGCTCATACACCCTTGATAGAATCAAAAAGGTCAAATTCAATTACTATTTCAAATTAATAAGCTCTACTAATAAGTAATCACTTGATCATAGTATTTTTAGAATATGACCAAGTTCATCATTTCAACCTATTACTGTTATACAACCATACGTTTTACAGTAGGCCTTAAATCATACAGCAGGCTTGACTAGAAATCAGAAATCAAAGACATCGAGACTCCATAGAATCAGATAGTACCTGAGATAATGGTAGCAGGGCAGCGGGTTGTCAGTGGGCTTGACGGTGGTTGTGATTGTTATCTTAGGAACGTATCAAGGATGTGGAGAGAAATCTCAGAGGTGGAAGTTGCCGATGGAAGCAAGGATGGCAAGGGGACGGAATGAGACGGATATTGGCGATTGTTTTTTGTTTTCAAAAACAATCGCTATGGTATCTATATCTTTCTATATATCTTATAGCATTTTTACTTAAACCTAATGTTATTTTTCCTTTGGGATAATGACTTAAAAAGGTAACAAAGTTTTAAAAATGTATAAAAAAGACCAATGTCTTTTTTTTAGTACACAAAATACCATTTTACCGGCTATTGTAGGTTACCCGGTTTTCAAATGTTCAAAAAATATCATTGTCGTTTTTTTAGTACAAAAAATACCATTAATGTTACTATTTGTACACGGAATACCAACGAAGTACACATGTGTTCAAATAAAACATTGTGGTAACCAGGTACTTCAGGTAAATGGAAAAATGGCTTAAAAGTGTAACGAAGTTTCCAAAATGTTCAAAAAATACCACACTTTTTGTTAATTGCGTTGTTGTCGGATTATGTAGAACACAATCACCAGAGATCATGAACCGTCATATCAGTTCACAACAATTGTGCAAATCTCTTTCATTCCTTCACTCGATCGTTCTTGTGCTAACAAGAGAAGTAAGTGGGTAATAACCCTAGTTAAACATTCTTGCTTTCTGATCACATTTATGCCTCAAACCTAAAACATATACACGTTATATAGATGCACATATTATACATCAAGGTTAGCCGTTCATTAGTGTTGCGGCACAAGATCGACACAAAGGAGAAACGAGTGTGACGTTATGCCATGAGAATTCCTAAATATGGATTTAGATACAAACTGATTGAGTGGTGAAATGAAAGAGAGTAAACAACTGGTGTGAACTGGTACGACGGTGACTAATCTCTGATGATCGTGTTCTATATAACCCGGAAACAATGAAGTTAACAAAAGGTGCTCTGAAAAAACAACAATGATTTTTTTTTTTTAACATTACGGAAATTTCAATGGTATTTTTTGTACTATAATATGTACTTCGTTGGTATTTTGTGTACAAATGATATACTTCAAGGGTATTTTTTATACTAAAAAAATAATGGTATTTTTTGAACATTTTGGAAACTTTGTTACCTTTTTAAGTCATTTTCTGTTTACCTGAGATAGCCGGTTACCACAAGGTTTTATTTGAACACATGTGTACTTCGTTGGTATTTTATGTACAAAAAATATACTTTAATGGTATTTTGTGTACTAAAAAAAAGAAAATGGTCTTTTTTGTACATTTTTGAAACTTCATTACCTTTTTAAGTCATTATCCATTTTCCTTTCAACACATTCATTTGAAACTCTCATGACTTTTCAATTTCTTTCTAATAATAATTATAATTTGGTTAATAAGGTTAAATAAATATCAAACCTAAAGTGTAATCATATTTTGTTTTTAACTTTTAACATATTATACTTAATTTATTAGTTTTAATATATTGTTGGATGTAAACGATTATCATTTTAAAGATACAATTTTGGAACAATTTGTATAAAATAGTTAAATTATTAATTTAAATATAAAATTATAGGGTCAACTTAAATATAAATTTTAGTTTGTCTTAAACAACCCAAAAAATATTTTGTAAATAGTTAAAAGTGATAAATTGTAGTGTCTTTCTAATAATGATTATAAGTTGGTTAATAAGGTTAAATAAATATCAAATCTAAAGTATAATCATAAATAAACTAAATTTCAATTTTAAAATAATATTTTTACTTCTACTTATAAAGTTATGTCTTTAACTTTTAACATATTATACTTAATTTATTAGATTTAAAATGTTGTTGTATGTAAACCATTATCAGTTTAAAGCTACAACTTTTGAACAGTTTAAACAAAATACTTACATTGTTAATTTAAATATAACCTTACATTGTCAACTTAAATATAAATTTCAGTTCCACTTAAAAAAATTAAAGAATATTTTGTAAATAGTTAAAATTGATAAATTGTAGTGATAAATGCAAAAACTAAATTGTAATATCAATTTAACTAAAATATTTCCTAAAGATATTTTTATAATCATTAAAAGTTTTCAAATAAGTAGCTTAAATAACTTACAATAACAATAGTTAAAAATAACTATATATAAATGATTATATTGTTATCTTTAAAATCAAAAACAATATTTGATGTTTTAAATAATTATAATGATAGAAATTAAAACATTAAGTAAATAAATTTTAAAAACTTTATTAACAATAACAATAACTATAAATAACATTAAACCATATATTATATTTAATTTTATTCATGATGTGTAACTCGCGAGTAGAAGTCATTCAAACGATTGAGATAATGCAGTTATAATAGATGTATATATTATCATATAATTCAAAATAATCAATATATTATATCAATTTAGTATACGAATTATTATATCAAATTTAACAACAACATTATTGTTATATTTTAAAAAACATATATTTGTAAAGACTTCAACTATATAGGTGTTTCTGCGCAACGCACGGGCATTTGCCTAGTGTTATTTATATTTAATGTTCTAAATTTACTTGTTTAGGCGGCTAGGTAATCCGACGTGGATGTGTAAAAACGCCAGTATAACGCGCCGAACACCGCGTCTGGCGTGCGTTATTAGGCGTTACGTTATAATACGTTACTGTGGTAACGCTCGACAACGGGAAGAATTCGAAGCAAAAATGATCCAACGTCTATATTTTTAATTTTTCAACCGTTGTAAAACGGTCAAAAATGTAAAAAAAAAAAAATTAATACAATTTCAATATTTTTTTCAACTATATATATATACATACATCAACCTTTATATTTTACAAACCTTTTATTACTCTCAAATCTTCAAAAAAAAATTCCCTACTATGGATCAAAACCCCAACACTCCTCCTCCAAACAAAAACACACCTCCTCCTCTTGGTTTTGCACAATACGAAATGTACGCTAACATTCTCAACACACAAGGCAACTTTTTCAATCCCGCCTCACCCCCACCACATTTCACTACAAACCTTCCACAAAACATTTTTAACCCATTTGCTACAATGCAACAAAATACCACACAACCACAACCCACCCAATAAACTGTACCCGAGACGCAAGCGGGGGGGGGGAGCGGGAAAAAACGACCCAAAATGGTAGAGGACGAAGGAAAGGGAAAGCGGTTGCGGTGGAGCAATCGGAAGACGAACCTCCTACATGGTGGACCGCGGACGAGGAATACGCATTGGTGGTGATTTGGTGCGGGACATCAAAAAATCCAACGCAAGGAAACGACATGCGAAGAGTTGCTTTTTGGGAAGCCGTGATCGTGAAATTTCGTGTCATTTTGAATAAAGATGAAAACTACCGCAATCACGACATGTTGAGTAGCAAGTGGACTCAAATTAGCAAGAAGTGCACCAAGTTCAATTCCATCTACAACAAACTTTCCTCGTTGGAATGTCGTTTTATGTTTTTTCGTTGGAATGTAGTTTTTAATTAGTATTTATTTTAATTATGTGTTATTTAATTTATATGTTTTTTTAAAAATTATTATGACATAAATTAAAAAAATAAAACAAAATAGAAAAATGGGAATTACAAACATCAAAAAAAAATAGAAAGTAAGTGGTGTTATTACATGTTATTTGGTGTTGCCCATTTCCACATTTGGTGTTATAACACCCATTTATGATTAGGATGATGATGTGACACCTTTTGGGTGTGGTAACATGTAATAACATGTTACCCACACCCAGCAGCCTTAGCATTAAAAAAACAAACGATCTAGATTACATCATCAATGTTAGGATGAACATCAGAACGGCCCGAGAACCGAACTTGGTGGAAAATAGGAACTGAATCCGACCGTCGGTTCTACCGGTTCCAGTTTCGGTTCCGATTCTTTCTGGGTCTTCAATGTTGAAACCGGTCCTCGAGAAATAGCAACATATTTTGAGAAAATATTTCGGTTACGGTTTCGGTTTTTGCCGGATCTATCGAAAAGAACAAAGAAAATACAATCAAATTTTCATGTATTTTGCTGGAAAAAAAACAGATTTGGTATGATATATTCCAATGCATGTTAATCATTCAGTTTTTAACTAAATTAAGAGTTTTTATAGTCTAAAATTAACTACAAAACTTAAATAACATGTAGGGAAAAAACCAGGTCAATACAACTTAAAATGTTTGAGATATGCACATTTTAATAAAAAAAGTCAGATTACTTTTAAGTAATAAAAAAAATCTGATTTGATATGTTTCCTTGTGGTGCTTGTAACTCATTTAATTTTTAACCAAATCAAGAGTTTTTATGATCTAAAATTAGCTACAAAACCTAAACAAGACACACTCACAATAATCCATTATAATTTGATCAATACATCTCAAATTAGATAAAACACACTCACAATAATCCATTCCTTCTGATCTTATGTCTTTAATTTTACATGATCAAAATGATTTTTTTCTAATTAAGATGTTTTCTTTTAATTTATACGGTTTGTAGCAAAAACAATTATGGCTTATAGATATTAAAGATGATTACATTATCGACGTCTTAATTAACATCAAATTATAACGTATACTTCTCATTCAATATCTTGCGAGCAAATTTGAATATGAGTTCATTTTGGTAGGATCTTTCGATCCCGATTCGATCTTATAATCACGATCTTGCAAAGCATAAAACGGTTTTAAATAAGATTATGATCTTGACAACCTTCACTATAACCTTCCTAAGTTTTAGCAAAGAAGTAATAAAAAAAAAACCTGAAAAACTGAAAAATGATATATATACATATATATATAAAGTAGGAGCAAGTAGGAACTCAAAAAATAATAGAAACCGCGAGGACAATTTTTGGTCTTAAGATTGAAAAAATAAATGATCAAGATATGATTTTATTTATCATCAAAATTTTGCGAGATGATATGACATTGTGATAATTAATTGCGAGATTTTGATAATTTTTGGAAAGGTTAATTGTTTGGAGGGTAAAAGTGACAAAAGCAAAAAGATTAAAAGAAAAAAGAAATTCGGCCTATGTGTCTCTCCAGACGCTGACACGTGCCCCCAACCAGAACATGACAAGTGTTCAGCCCTTATTTGACT